GGTGCGCAAGCCATCACACCACGTCAAGGTGCAGTCTCGTCGTGATGGAAAGAGTAAACACATACTATCGAAGATTCATATAGCACCGTATTGATCTGCACATGTGTGAAGATAGATGACAGGGCTGTTCATGTTATTTCGACAAGATACCCACCTTTGGCGATGCAAAATGGAACACAGATGATGGCGAACCCGTGCTAAGCCCGCTTAGGGGACACATGGTGTCCGAGAAACAGATAGTCGGATTAATTTGGTCCGGCAGTCAGTCAAATAATTCTGATATGTATTGGACAGGGTGAACATTGAGCTACCGTACGAGGGCCCTATCTTCTGCATCTCCTACGTGTACTGAAACGGAAATGTTTTGCTCAACCCTCCCATAACTACTGCGGTAAGGTTTCTATAAGTCGACCTGATGTTTAATATTCAACGGCTAAGTTACGTTTTTTGAATGAAACGTAGCAAAATAAAGCACCAATGAATGGTATTAGTGATTTGCCACTGGGAAAAATAAAATCTTATACTTAAGTCAATCAGGTCAATTTCTCAAATCATCCTCCGTTATTGAACGGGATGGAAACTGATAATACTTTGAATTGAGTGACTCCATATCTAAGTGCAATTCTCAGTTTGGTCAACCAATTTGGTGCGACGTAACGGCTATGAAAGACCGAACCTAGCGGGATGGTTTTAACTGGAGTTAACACAAAGTTACAAGTTAACGTCCTGTCTTCAGTGTTGGGACAAACGAACGGGCTAACCATAGCTGAAAACTACACAGGAACAAGCCTAAATTGGTGATTTACCACTCCAACATTTTCGAAAGTGAATGAGGCCTCGTTTTCATAAACGGAACTAATTTCATGTGCTACCCTAAGAGCATTCCTCAGTGGCGTTCTGCTGGTGACAGGGTGTCTTGATACCCAATTATAGCCGGGTTGATGTGTTACGAGTGGTTCAGTTCAGTTTTCACAACCATTAGCCATCCATTTTCATTCGCCGCTTTCGGTGGCTGTCTTTCGGCTGCCAAATTGGATAAAAGAGCAGAGGGAAGAATGGAATACTGCGAGCAGAATCAAAAAAGGATAGAGAATTAACCTGGACTAAGGTTGCAAAGATAATGAGCAGATGCACGAACACCAACAGAATAAGAGGTGGAACTAAGTCCGTAGCTCAAATCTACTCATTAATTACAAGCACCAACAGTCACGGCAATGAAACCACTGTTCGTGTCTGGTCCAGAGTCACGCAACAAAACAGAGACATGAGTTTTACTGACGATTACGACACCGACTACTCATGAGTAGTTCGGTACTGTTATAGTAGACTGTTCCAGCTTGCATGTCAGGTCAGTTAACTGATTGAACATGGTTTGACGTGTTGCTATGGGAGCACTGATTTATTCTAATTTCATTGCGAATAGTCGTCAGATGGAGCTCCTTTAGAACATAATGCCGGGAAAAAAGAGATCAAAGGATGAGGTTTAAATAAACCAGATACCGAATGATTTATTTTGTTGTAAAAACATGCACATGTCGATTTGTGCTTATTCGGGAACATTTACCTAATCAATCTCTAACTTTAGTTCAGATAGTTGCTTGATGAGGATAAGCAGGAATCGTAGAGATTATGAGATTTTATGGTACCGTGATACAAGGTAGATCCTTCCTTGGTCTTTCGTTCGATGGTAGACCTGTAGTCTTAGCACAACCATGTACTGAGTGCGAGACATCGGTGCCATTGACTCCCTAGGAGATTCAACGCCATTTGACTGAGGCGGAATCCGACCGGGGCTCTGTTTAGCAATGTTGGTTGGGCAGATTTGATTTGTGACCGCTGGATCAAGCAAAAGATCTTCTCTGCTCACTCAGAATCAACTGTCATCGAGTACCGTAAACCGATAGAGTTTGGGCTCAATTGCTCTCCGGTTGGTTTGGCCCTTCTATCAAGTACTAACAATATGGCAACTGGTGCATACCTCAGTATCTTGGAGCAACCGATAGCAAGTGAGTAAACGATGAAGATAAAACAGGGAGAATATGTCTCAAGGGACACAATAGTCTAACAGTTCAGAGAAGCTACTCCCATCATATATATATATATATATATATATATATATAANGCAATGAACCCAAGAGAACTCTAAATTTGTTGTGCGCAGTTTCGACCACATAACCAAAGTGATTACGTCATGGTGTTACATCATGGTTGTATGAAGAAGCAATTTTCTCTTCCCTTGGCCAGGGGAGTTTGAGAGCTTGAATCAGTTTGCGTTGTGCGCACAGCTCAGGCTTCATGAGTCGGATGCCAGCGTGGATTGTGTTCTTTGATCCGTTGAGATAACTGCCTTGTCGTTCGACCTACGTAAGTCGCACCACAGGTGCACTTGAATTGGTAGACAATCATAGATGAGGTCAGTATAGGCAATTTATCTTTGTTATAGCATCGGATGTTTGGTGACGTAGAGAACACACATCTTAGCTGTGCGGCATTAAATGTAGATTTTACTGCGGAAGATCAAAATCTACTAATCCTCTCAGTGGCGGCATCACCTTTAAACGGAAGTTATATATATATATATATATATATATATATATCACGTCTGATTGTGTGTATTTTATAATATAATATAATTAGAAATCAGTCCATTATTGAAATTTGTCCAGAGTTGATGGGATATTAGTCGAATTTCACTCTCTTCACGAATGAAGCGGGAACGGATGAACAGTACCTGTGAATCGCTCACAACAGTTTCCGTAGTTTGGCTGGTCTCAAGTGACACAGGGATATCCAGACTAGCTCGACCACCTTTGACAGATTGTGTTCGACTTTGGGAGGGCGTGAGGACCAATTTCGGAGCTGAACTGTTCACGATACTCT